GAGGGCAGCAGCGGCGGCGACTCTCCTGCGCGCCGCCCCACAATGCACCGCGCGCCGATCCTCGCTGTGGCCGGAAAGACCCGAAGCAGATCGGGGCTGCGCTCCGAGGCAAGGCGCTTGGGGGAGGGGGAGGGGCAGCGGCGCGGCCACTCCAGCGCATGCGCGGAGCCGGGCCTCGGGGAATACCGGTGGCAGGACCAGCCCGGGCCAGTTTTGCGCATGCGCGCCGCTCGGCCTCGCGGAACGCTGATGGGGAGACCTGCGACCGCCCCAACGCATGCGCGCCGCCCGGCCTCGGGGGACGCCGGGAGAGGGAGAACTGAGGCCACCTTGGCACATGCGCACAACCCGGGCTCGGGGAACGCCGATGGAAGAGCCGAGGCCACTTTTGCTCATGCGCACAACCCCTACTAGGGGAAGCCGGTGGTGGGGAGAACTGCGGCCACCCCAGCGCATGCGCACAGTTCAGGTTCGCGAAACGCTAATAGTAGGGAGCCCTACGGTAACTGCGCATGCGTGTAGCCCAGCCAGAGCGGGATAATGGTGTATGGGAGAGCGGACGCTATCCCTGCGCATGCGCCCAGCTCGCCTCCCGCCCAGGTTGGAGCTCATCACTTAGGCTGGGCTCTTGCTTTCGGGTGTCAGCGGTGAAGAGCATGTTGGGTTTCCTAGCAGTCGGAATGTGCTTAGGTCCACTGTAGACCAGGCCTGGAGTTGTCACCCTACGTGAATATTTAGGCAAATGATGGGTGAACCCATTGTTCCCCACTGCCAGGTGGGAATAGCAGGGCCTGAGCCTGCAAGCACTGAGCATGGCGAGCTGCCAGGTCCCTGGAGTGGGACTTGTTCCACAATGCCATGCGACAACTAGTCATCCTGCCCCAATAAGTGATTGTTGTTGTTGTTAAAGCTGGCTGAGGTTTCTGACTTTCAAAAGCCTCAGAAAAAGTCCCCATCCTTTATTGTGCCTTCTCCCAAACCTGCTGAGGTTCTTGCTGGCTTTCTCACTGCACCTGTTTTTGCTACACACTGCCATCTGTGGCTCCACCAAGCCCTAAGACCTCATGGTCAGCCTCCTCCTGGTTCTGCTCAAGCTGGGCAGCTACAAGACCGGGGGGGGGGGGTCTGTCTGGGAAGATCCCAAGCAAATTTGGAGCTGTCTTCCCATTGCTCCTCCAGTCACATCTCCGGCAAAGTTTTACTGGTTGGTGCCCACAGGCGGCCTTGACTCATTCGCAGGGCAGCGAGTGCCAGCCGGTTGCTCTGCTCAGTGTCCCTTTCCGGATCCCTTGTTTTGGACTTGTGTCCCTCGCTCCCATTCTTGTTTTATTTTTATTTTTCCCAAGCAATCAGTCGTTGCATTCTCAGTGGCCTCCGTTTTAAAGCAATGCTAACATGACTGGAAGGGGGCTAAAGACCCTGCCAGTCTACCCAGCAGCCAGTGGTGCATTTCCAATTGGGTGGGTGGCCTTCATTGGACCAGGTAAATGAGGTCATAAGGGCTATATAAAGGAAGGACTGCCCAGGAGGAGGGGTAGTAGCCATGATGAAAACTCATAGAGAGAAGCTGGACCATCTGAAGCTCTCTCTTTCTCTTGAAACTCATGATCAATGAGCTGTTTGCCTCCAGAGGGAATCTCCACCTGCCTCTGGATGATACTTGTAAGTAAGCTACCTGAGATCTAACTAGCTATATAGCTTGCAGTAACTCAGATGCATGATCAAAGGCTACCATGCCACTGTTTACTCTAAGGAATTTTTTTGATATTGCTCTACCCAAACCTACTAGTAGCCAATAAAGTTCTCCTTTGTACCTAGTGTGGGAGACTTATTGGGAGAGGGTCTAGATTATGCCTTGGGGTCCTCTTGGTTCGGCTAAGTAAGGGAGACCACTATTTGTGCTTCAGACTGAGGGAAGACCTCAAGTTCTTGCAGGGGGTCAGGTACGCTCCAGGACTACTAGGCCTGTGTTTCCCAGAGGGTGCAGGTCCCAGATCAGTTCAGACTCTGGGTGGTGGCAGCATTACCCGCCAGGCTTGTGGGTGTGCTCCAGGAAGAGGGTTGGTGGGACGTGAGGTGCCCCCAGGGAGGCACTCAGAGCTTGGCAGGTGGACAGGTGCAGTGAGGTGGGTGGCTCAGTGCAGGACTACCCCCTACTGGCCCGCCCCACGCTGAATGCAACAAATAGACATGCGTCACACAGCAGCAGAGAGTGGATGCTGAAAGGGAGAGTGAGCTGGGTATGGCCATTGTTTTTTCCACTGTTCGTCTCCCACTTGCAGCCTCCAGCCTGTAAGTTCTAGGAAGTTTTGATTCAGAGGCTGTACCCCTCAGTGTTCAATAGCTGCCGACGTACCATTCCACCAAGAATTTGTCCAACTAGGGTCACCATACGTCCAAGAGTTTTCTTGAATACGTCCTCTTTTATGGCCCCCGGTCCTGGGTCTGGGTGGGTTTTTAAAATAAGAGAAAATCTCCGGGTCTTTTGCTGTTCCCTCTGCTCTCCTCAGCTGGCTGCTTGGGACTGGGAGCAGCGGGCAAAGTGATTGTCTGTTGGGGGTCATGTGCTCCCTGCATGGGCTCCGGCAAGCCAGGTAAAGAGACACTGTGTGTGACATGTGCTGCTTGGGCAGCAGGGATGGGGGTCTGTGGGTCAAGAGTGAGGGGCACTAGCAGGACTAGGGGCAGGGGCCTGTGGGTTGGGAGTGGGGAGCGGCTGGCAGTGCTGGGTGGGGCAGGGGCTTAGGAGTGAAGAGCAGAGGCAGGGCATGGGCATATCACTGCCACCCCACAATCATATGCCCCTCCCTCCTATCATCCCCCCTCCCAGGTGTCCTCTCTTTGGAAATATGGTAACTCTACCTGTTTTTTCATTTGGTGAAACTGTCAGCTTCTACATTATCTTGCCACAGTGAGTTCCACACTTGAATTATGCTATGTGAAAAAGAGTTTTATATCCTTCTTTTTCAGTTATTTCTAAGTACATATTTTCCCTAGAGCGGTTACTGCAGTCAGTGGTTAAGAAAGGCAGCTCCAGAGAACAATGTGAGCCTGTGTTTAAAATGCTATGCAATCAGTGCTTGTTCACTTCCATGGCTAGTGGTTCTGAACCCAGCCTTGATCCTGAAGTTCAGTTCACAAGATCTGCATCCTCTTAGAATCCTATTGGCATCATCCACAATTTGCCACATGAGCACTGGGCTCTACCTTCATGTAGCCAAGCAGAAGTCTGGGGTTATGATTTGCGCTTATTTTGACCTGGAGGTAAACTGAATTCACTTTCATTTGTTACTGATACCTTTGTCAGGCAACAGATAAATGTCATTTACATAAGGTTTGACTCTCTCTCTCTTGTCCCCGACACCATCCCCCACAACTCTTCCACTTCCTTGTCTGGGTATGTCACATTTGAATTTGGACACTTCACCTTGCAATAAAATTTGGACCTGTTTGTGTTGTGCTGGGCCACTGAGGTGGTACTTTGCAGACAGCTGGTCCTACATGTGTAGCCACATGAGGGACCTGAGGAAGGTGGTTTTAATTGGTGTTTTTTGTTGCTGATAGGTATTTCATGCTTGGCCTCTGGGAGGGACACTCACCTTTGCACTTGCATCATTTGTTTTAATATTTGTATACAGGAGACCCTTGCCATTCGCGGAGTTGTAGAGATCCCTGCGAATGGGGAAATCCATAAATACTGTACTGCGTCATCTGCATTGAAAACTTGTTCGATTTTGTGGGGGATAATCCTGCACTGCCTCATGATCTGCTGATGCCGATTTTCCCCCATCAACTTCTCAACAAATCTGAGATTAGTGAGGGTTTCCTGTAATAACATTTTAAAAAGTCAAATCTCTCTCGAAAGTGAAAGACTCACTTTCAAGGAAGAGGATGGAGAGAAAAGTGGTGGTTAGGCTATGTATGGGTCTATGAGAGAGGAGGCCCGAGTTCTACTTCCAGTTCTGCTACTTGTTCACTCATGAGTTTTATCTGAACTTCCCATTGATGTTGCCATAGGTTCAGATACATTGGTTGGAGCCTTTGTCCAGACAGTATTCTTTGCTGGATCCCTTTTTACAAGTGTTTGGATTCTAGTGGGACTTATGCATTAAGACTTATGAGTCTTTAACAAAAAGCACTTCCTGATAAGCCAGAATGGGCAAAGTATGGCTCACAGGCTAGATTTGGCCCACCAGGCCATTCTATTCACCTGTGGGACCCCTCCAAAAATACATTACCAGCCTGCAGCTGCCCCTCTGAAAACTGGTAGGAGGTCTTGTATTGTTGGACCAGGTGGGCTCTGTGCCTCCACCTCCATGGGGCTCCCAGCACTCCAGCTAGGAACCTCATGTGGAAGTACTGAGCGCACTGGATAGCTAGTGATTTGGTGGAGGAGTGTGGGGTTTGAGAGTGGGTGTGTGGGTGCGGGATCCCTGCCGTATACCCTCCTTCCTCACCATGGTGCACAGCCCCCACTGGTGGCAGCAGCAGTAGGCAGCAGGCCCTCAGAGTTCATGGCCCATGGCAGGCAAAGCCCCCTGGTGACACGTGGCTCTGGCTAAGACCCGCAAGCTGCACCTTCAGGCCAGACTGGGCTGGATCTGTGCTAGCATGTGGGGCTCCCAGCAGTGCAGGAGGTGCATGCTATTGGGCTGGGCTAGCTCTGTGACTCTATGTGGGGCTTCCAGCACTCCCAGTGGGGAGCCACATGTGCCTGGCCCAGTCCAGTGCTGTGTGCTCCTGGCTGCAGTGCCAGGAGCTCTGTGTGCTGGCATGCAGCCAGCCTGGCTTGGCTCGATGGTGTATGGCTACCAGAAGGAGAACTGTGAGGAGTCGCATTCCATCAGGCTGAACAGGCTTTGTGCCACTACACGCGGCTCCCTGCTGGAGTGCTGGAAGCCCCATGTGGAAGCACAGAGTTGGCCTGACCCGATCCGATGATGCATAGCTCCTGCCTGCAATGCTGGGAGCTGCACACGGTGGCACACAGCCAGCCTGGTCTGGCCTGAAGGTACACACCAGTGGGCTAAGCTGCTCTGTGCTGCCACATGCAGCTTGTGTGACTCAGCCAGAGCCGTGTGCCACTGGGGGCACTACTTGCCATAGGCCATGAGCGCCCTGAGGGCCTCATGCCTGCTGCTGCTGCCAGCAGCAAGGGTTGTGCACAATGGGCTGGGGAACACGTGTGAGGGGGCCACACACACCCCACACCCATCCACAAACCCACCCACATGCCTTCACCCCCCCATATACACAACTCCCTGCTAATCCCACCCCCAGCCACACCCCTGCATACAATATATAAGAGTAAGACTTTATTTTGAGTTACTATGCAATTACCTCTACATACACTATGCAAACATACATAAATCAGAACAAAAATATATTTTTTAATAAAATTAAAATATGTTATAGTAGATATTTGATTTTTAGTATATGGTCTGTTTTTCTGGTTCCAAGATGGCAAACCTTCCCTCCCCAAAAGGAGTACTTCCAGGGGCAAGGGGATGGACTTCTGGTGGCAAAGGTCAGGGGCTAGGGGTCGGACTTCCAGTCCCAACATGGTGATCAGGAAGCGGGGCACCAGTTAAGGGGTAGGACTACTGTTGCAGCCCTTGACAGCTCACTAAAAATCATTAAGTGGCACTCTAGCCAAAATAATTGCCTACCCCTGTGATGGACTTAACAGAACTTTCCAAAACATGCATTGCCTGTTGCTAACATAAAAAGTTTTAAAGAATCTTAAAAGTCTTAAAATCTCACTTTGCTTAATTTTTGATTTGCTGATTCCTGTTATATCATAAGTAAGGCCAGGCAGAAGAAGTAATTCTGTTTTGTGGAGAGCTGGGACTGCCTGGTGGGCTGCCCTAGACCTGCAAGCCAGGACTACAAGCTGATGGGTCTTGCCGAGTAGTTTGCTACTGTGGGTGAGCTGGCAAGAAACCTTACTGGGTTCCAATAAGATTAATTTCTAGAGAAACTACATTCCGTCTCAACGGAACATTGCAGTTTTGACAAATTTTAATGAAAATGTGCTTCTTCAGAGTTTTTCTGACTAGCTCTAGTCATAATTGTACTCTGTTCCATTCAACGTCAGGTGCACAGGACCTGAACTGTGTCATAAAAACTAAACAGAGAACTGTCAAACCTTTTGGAACATTGTAATGAATCACTACCAAGATTAAGCTCCATTTATTCAACCCTGGGTCTCTGTCAGTGCTTTACATTATAGGATCTTACTTCAGTTTAATTAGTAAAGTTATAAGTTGAAAACTAATATTTTAACCAGAACAGTATTTGATCACAGCTTTTTAATATTATATAACAAAAGAATGTTTTGCTGATGTTTGGTGGTGCAATAAAAATTTTATATAAATAAAAAGGTGCCTTATTTGTAGCGTGACTCCTTTGTCTAGAACAGTGGTTCTCAATCTTTCTACACTTGAGGCACCTCTAAGTAATCTTGAGGCACCTCCTGATAGGCTCAAAGCAGCCTCTGGAAAGTGCTTGCTCTTGTTTTCACTCCTTTTTGTGAGTGAAAAGGAGAGCAGTTCTTCTATTGCGAAGAACTTGGAAAGAGCACAACAGGTCAAATGCTTTTAATACTGTGAATTCTTATTTGAAATCTCAGGCTGCGATCAGATGAGCGCAGACATGTGGTATGTGGCACCGAAGACCTGTCCTTGGCACCACATACCACACATGCAGGCCTTCCTTGTGCTGCTGCTTTACAGCACAAGGTGGGTTTTTTGACCCCAGGATTTCCCAGGGTCAAATATAAAAAAAACCCCACACCAAAAAAAAGCAAGGTGGCTCATATGGTGGCAGTGTACATCACCCCAAACCTGAGCCTGGCTGGCTGCTGGCCAGGCTCCTAGCTGCAGGAACACTGGGGCTGCAGCTCCCAAAGGCCCCCAGGATCTTAGATACAGCTTCTGGGGCCACCTGGGGTAATGTACCACCTACCAGAGGGCATGTGGCACAGTTATTCCCAGGGTCAAGTAGCAGTGACACAAGGTGTGCCATTAATTCTTTTGTAATGTCTATTGTGACAAAGGGGCCTCCTGGGGCTGAACTGTGGCCCGCCCACCTGTCACCGTGACAGGAGGCCTACTCAGGGCCAAGCTCTTCATGGCCTGCCCACCTGTCTCTGGGCAACCACCCGCTTATCTCGCCCGCCACGCCTTTGATGATAATTGATTCGTATATCGATGTCAATTAAGCGGGAGGCTGCCCATTGTAGTGCCCTGATGCCAGGGGGTGCTCTGCAGCTCCAACCTCCCCTAATACTGCAGCCCAAGCCTCACAGATGGCATCTCGATGTTAACACTATCACCGGCCCCACACTGGGCCCCAGAATCGTCCTAACAGGACCCCACTCTGATCCTTCCTGTCAGGCGGCCACTCCGCCTTCATCTGGGCTACCTAGCCCCCCCGAAGCTATCTTCCCCTCTTGGGCATGGTTCCCCCGGAACCTTCAGCTACCTGGCCCTGGCCCACCTCAAGGTCGGTCGGGACCCCAGGCCCCCGGCTCTTGGGCATCCCTCACAGTGAGCCCCCGGCCCTTTTGACTCTCCTAGTCCTGGCCCCAGCTTGGGCCAGTCAAGGGTACTCTTTCTTCGGGCTGGGTCTCTCTAGCCCCTCACTCGCATCCTTGGGCCTCACCGTGCCACTACTCCCTTTCTCCTAGGGGCAACCACAGCACCACGCCCTGTACTCCATCACGCTCTCAGGGTCCGCCCTCTCTGGGCCCCTCACAACACTGGCCCTCTGGGCCCCCAACAAACATAAGGGTAACTCACCCAGTGGTGGTGGGAGCTAGGGGTTAAAGCACCCCAACCCACCTTTCACTGGGGTGATAACTGGCCTGGCATTTCCTGGGGGCTCCTGCGCCACTGAGAGCCCCACCAGGCCACCCACTCCTGGCAGGGTGTAGTTTCAGGTCATGCCCAGGACCAGGAGCCTCCTAACCATCCCCTTGCAGCTCCCCCTTACCTCCAGGTCATTCACAGCAGCCCTACAGCCAGGCAATGTTGCTGCCTGGCCTCCAGCAGGCAAACTGCCTTGTTTATATAGGCAGCCTAGGCCTCAAAATGGCTGCCCTAATCAGGCACCTGGAGGCTGCCAGCTCCAGGCCCTTAAAGTGGCAGAGACACCCTGTGCTCTGCCACATCTATACTCTAATGAAGCCTCATCTAAGCTTTTTCTGGATTCAGTAGTAGCATCTGATGAAGTAAGTTGTTGCATAGAAAAGCCCATGCCTCTTTGAACTAGTTCATTTTCTGAGATGACACCCTGCCCTACCTTCTTCCTGGATTGAATAATATTAACATTTACAGGCTTTTCATCAAAATAAATTCTGAATGACAGAGAATTTACTATGCTTATAAGATCAAGCACTAGACTTCAGGTGAGGTAACACTCTATTCCATTGGTAAACTTTCTATATTTTTTAATTCGTTTTCTTTACATTAACACATCCAAATGCCTTATTTGCATCTTGAACACTTCTTTGCACTGGGTGCAAAACGTAATGCCAAATAGTGACTTTCACAGCTACCCTAGTTATGCACATGCATAGCAGCAGAGAGGAAGCCTGCTCTTACCCCTTGGGGTGGTGGCTTGCAGGACCTATGATCTGGCAGCTCTACAGTTGAAGCCATTAGGTGATGCCAAGGACTGCCTTGGCCCA